ACCTGTGGAACCGATCTGTAAGATCTTTGCTTTTATATTGCTTACATCTATCTATTCATATTTGAGCCATACTTCTGTTATGTTGCTATAACTTGGAGTCTATTTTTTTGTAGAGTGCATGAAATGGAGATGATGTCAGTGGGTCTTTCATGGTATATAAGCAATTAGGCCATACAAAAGCATCATTAACAAGTGCAGAGGGTTATAATCCCAATTATTTGGGGTGAGCTACATGAATGAATCCTTTTCATTTATTTCTAATAACAGTGATATCCTAGTGCATGTTCTAATTTGTATTGTGTGAAAATCCATCTTCTAAATTATGGCAATGTATTTAATGGCTATTAGATGACAAACACACTATTCCTTCTTCTCCTTGATTGATATTCATGCTCAGGAGAATAGAATGTGACATGCACTGGTGGTGCTGTTATGTACATGGAACTTTAAGAAGAACCTTTTTCCCCATTTTCTTGGTATTTCCAATATTGATTTAACATAGTCACAATGTTTACGTTGCGATGGAATGTTATCAAGCAATTAGGCAAGCTTGATTCTCTTAGCCTATTTCTGTGAATTTTGGCATTTTGTACTGTTTAGGTCCTGATACATGTTATAAAATTCTCCTTCTGTTTCATTTCATATCTGTTTCTTGTACTGTTTAAGTCCTGATACATTTTGTACTATTTCTAGGTATTTCCAATATCTGTTTGTTCGTATCAGACTCGTAGTTTGTGACTTCGATAAGTTCTATTTTCTCGTAGCTTGTTCTTGTTAAAGATCCAAACTGTTGGTGGAAAATTAGACTGCCAAAAGTCGTGGATCATGTCTATGATCTTCCTTTTGTTCCATTACTTTTTCTTCTGATTGAGCAAACTTTTACTCCATAGACTATGAACATCCTGAAAGCCACATGCCATTGTGCAGTTGCACAAACATTTCACAAGATTAGTGGGAAATAGGATCATAGCTTACTCTCTCTTATTTCAATAGCTGACTTGAATCTACAGCCACATGGGATTTACTTAAAATTGTCTTCAGTGAAAAACCTTAAGAGATTAAGGTGACTTTCCAGGATACCCTGCATGTTTTATCAAATATAATATGAATTTATAAGTAGCAAAAGGATGATTCTTCATTTCCTTGAAATGCAATGGTCTATTCTTGGAATTAACAGTGAAGAGTGGGTTTTCCCTTCGTATCTGTCCATTCTAAGGGGCAGGACACTCTGTTTCTTCTGTCCATGCTAAATCACTATTAAACATCAACTTGTCCCAGTAAATTCCTACACTGTATAAAATAGGCTAAACCTCCAAGAGGACTTGTTTGTTTCTTGGTGCAGATCAAGAAGTCACTATGAACCAGAGCATGTCTTTATGAGTAGTCCTTGATTTGCTTAGTGCAGTTTGAGACTTCACCCCCAGTTCAAGGTGCTCAGTTGATGGTGAACGCTTGGAACAGGTGTCCTGATTTTTTGGTAAGGTTTGCTTTAATCCAACTCTTGTTTTGCAATTAATTCACATTGCATCATTACAGTTCGTCCATTTTGCATGTGTATGTGTGCATATAGTGGTGAAGTGGTGAAGGCAGGAATCTATTTTTACGCCATCTTGCAACCATCTTGTAGTTATTGGTTTGTCTTTTTCTTTTTGTCGATCATAAAATTGGGATTATGGTGGACCTTAAACGGGCCATATACTTGAATAGGTCAAATCCGTTGAGCCCCGAGAAGGTCCAAACAGGCCGAGGGATCAGTCCATGATCATATACTTAGGCATTTACCACATAATATTTGTTTTCTTTCTTTATTGTTTTTGGCCTACTGAATGTAATTAGTTTTCAGTGTCAACTGGAGCAACTAATGTTCTATGGAAATCCAGGTCAAACTCTGTGGTATCAGTCCAAAAAGACCCATTCGGAAGTTAAGATCTATTGAAAAAAACACAATAAAAGGAAAAAAGGGTTATATGACAATAAATGACAAGGTAAGAAAGGGATCTATTGGAATAAAAAAGAAAAAAAATATTTTTTTAATGTTTCTCTTGCCATTAAAGAAGACAATGATCTATTTTTCACAGTGACTTAAAATACCCAAAGATATATGACAAGGTAATTTAATTAAACGGATTCACATGCACTGTTACTGTTCTTGTCCCCATGAACTCATGGTATGCAAAGGAGTTATGGCCACTCTGCATATAGAAGAGACAAGAGGAGAAAGCAATATGAGGTACACCAAATATAAATTGATGGTTTGCTGTACAAAGTT